GCGCAAAGAGATGGCGATGAGACGGTTTTCAAATAACCCCGCACGTAAACGCGATTTAAGGGCGCGTGCGGTACGCGTTTTTTCAACTCAACGCGTACTGCAAAAACGAATAATTATAATTTACGCACTATTACGTGAATACGTGCATCGTGCAACCACGAATACATTGTCGATGCAATCAAGGTCGACACAATAATTACTCGTACGGCCGTTTCGTGCAATAACCCTTCCACAACGGTTCAATGGTGAAAAAAAAAAATTCTTTGCCCTAACCTAACCTAACAACGGTGCATAACTTTTCGAGGGCAACAGTCTCGGAGCACATCAGCTCCCTTATCCGTTCAAATGTATTATAACATCCGACACGTTGCTTTCACGCAAACATGACACTTTTCATTAACAGCTGCGTACGTCTAGATAAATTATAGCGCTGTTTTCGATCGTTTTTCTTTTGTACCGTTCGTTATTAAAAATTGTTTATATATATTTACTCGTATTATAGATTAATAATATTTTTGTGTACAATTTTCGAGTTTTAAGTCAGACGGCGCAACCACCTCACGGAACATTCATCAGCAGCTGATACAAATAACACATGATATTACCGAACAATAGTTATACTATAGTATATATACATGGAAATTAAATTAACTTGGTGCATTCCACTTTTGATCGAAGTTTTTATATGCTACGCGATTAGACATAATCATTTTGCGGCGTATGCGAGTGCAAAATATTTCAGAACTTATATGAACATGTATATTGTAGACAGTGAATTGGCGAGTATCGGTTTCTACGGTCTCGCGTATACACACACACACACACACACACACACACACTTGTATATATATTATGCAATGGCGAAGGTGAGGCGGGTTCGACAGACGGGAACGGGTAGAGGTAAATACGCGCACATATACATGACCGAGTTTACAATCGTTATGAGGGTGAGGTTTTGACGGACTTCGAAAAGGATCTCGGGGATCGAACGGATATGTACGATGGCGGTGGACGCAGCGAAAAGAGAGAGGGTGCGTGGCGCGGGCAGTGCGTGCGTGTGTGTGCGCGCGCGAGGAGATGACGACGATGGACGACGAAGGCTCTAGGACGCTCGGGTACCGAAGAGGAGGGGGAGGATATGAAATATGAAATTTCGTAATTAGAAGCCCCGTCTATAGAATCGCACATATATATAAATATGCATACGTATACGGTGCTCACGAGACACCGACAGAGAGCCGGAAAGGGTCGGAACGAGACGCGCGTGATGGGGAGAGCTGATCAATAATTCAATCCCGTTTTAAAGAGCGGACCCGTGCGTATGTGTGTGCACACACACACGTGTGTATGTGTGTGTGAGTGTGGGTATGAGATGCCGAACCCCGGAGATATATCTTCAAATCAAGATGGCCGCGTCAATCGTCTATTGTTTTAATAGTTGCCCGTAGGTGGGAGTTACCCCTTTCTCGGTGAACGGGACCGATAAACGGGGATGAGGAGATGTAGACACGGTGGTAAGTGTGTGTATGTGTGTGCAAGCACTGGGTATACAGCGGATGAGAGGATGCGAAGTTCCGAACTCGTATACACACGTATGAATGTACACGTGTATATAAATATACGTGTGCACACACACGCATACGCCGTACACGTTATATGTGCCCATCTATCAACCCTCATTTTCTACCCTTCGGCGACCACTCGTCATATGTGCGTTTATACGTTCGTGTGTGTGTGTGTGTGGTACACGTATTGTAAAGCAAACGTCGGCGGCGGTCGGCGAAGAAAATCGGCGGATAAAGGAGAAAGAGAAACCATAAATATAGACACGCGGCTGGTCTGCAGCTCGTATGCATGATATATGTTTGGGTATGAAGTGACGAGTAGGGATCGTGCACGTTTTGATATACGTGATGTGTACTCTACTATATCAAATTAATAAATTATATATTATTATGGGTTTACTTATATAGGTATATATATAAACACACACACACCTGCACATCATTATACAATGTACACTAATAACCAGTAAATTTGACCAACGATATTCGATGTGTATTTAATATACATATATACGTATACGTTAGAATAATACAATTTTTCACGTTCACGAAGCGATGATTTTCGTACAAGTTTACGCGCAAACTTTCTTTATTTCAAATACAATAGATTTGTAGCACGCGGTACAATTATTGAAATGAAATAAATCTAAAAGCCAAGGTAAAGTGCACCTAACGTACTCGAGTGGTTTCAAAAGAATGCTTATCAAACTTATAAATAAGGGTTTGCAACGAGCTATACGCACAGACGTTTATAAATTTATCATCGACCGGTGTTAAATCACCATCTTGTAATTAATTTAACATCAGTTGATAGCACCAACTTTGGTAGTCAAATTAAACGTGATTAACGAAAGCTAATAGCACTATGTCAAATAGTTACAAGTTTCTCGGGAAGTTTCGAAACGAGTGCCGCGATCTAATAATTCTCGGCATGACCAACATTTTTGCACGGATCGGCATAATCGAAGTGGATACGGATTGTTACACGTCGACATAGTAGTGCTCGTAAGATTGTCGATGTCTTTTTTTTTTTTTACATTTGGACAACATAACGGATTCAATAATCAATTTTTACAGCTACAAATTTTTTTTTTAATTTCTAAGATGCACGTTAAACGCTTCGAAGCCTTATTTAAATATGCTATAACGTATACATAATTGTACACGGAAAACAACTAAGTCGCCGCGAAACGACGGGTAGGTAGGTGGTAGTTTGTAGCGGAATGGACGGTGACAACAACCGCGCCCGATCCCGCTCCTGTCGTCATCGTCGTCGTCGCAACTGACAGTGACGGTGGTGGTGAAGTCGTTTAACTAATTTGGCCGCGCACGGAAAACCCTTTGAGCGTTTAAACACTCGGAAAACCAACAAATAATCGCATGTTTGCATATCAATCGAAAAAAAACATATTATATTAAAATTGCACCGCTATAGATGAGTGTATACAAAACAACGTGTGCATTATACGAGTTTGTATTGATATAGGTACCTAAGTATAAAAATCAGTAATGTTAAAAGATACGTATAGGTGTAATGCTCAGTGGGATGTTTTAAATCAAATGTAATATTTAAATTAGCTACCGATCACGAGAAAACATTGCGAAAGATGAATATTTCGTTGCAGGAGTCGTTTTTTCTGATCTCAATCGTATAACTTTCGATCGTTTTCGCAACAGTCAAACGTGATCGATGCTTTAGCACGAATGTCCTGTTTGCAGCACCAATGTGGAAATATTCGACAGCTATTCGCGGTGCGCACCGATCGCTTTGTACACACAGCATACACATGTATAACCGTTTGTAATTATACATCAATATATACAGGCAAACCAATATACGATGTCACAATAGAATACAGAGTGCGCAAATAGTGTATCAATTGCATGTAACAACACGACGTTCCTAGAAGTTAATAATATATGCACGCGACTTTCCGATAAATTATATAATGTGATGATGATGATGATGATGATGATAATACGACATTATCGTCGGATGAAGAATGCACAGAATTATAATGCAGCCGGTATACCTTTATACACGTATACGTATATGTGCACACACACGAACACATGGACTATTAAAACACTCGTGCGCGTTGTGTCTGCGCGGCCATTAATAGCTCGCAAGAGCCTTCGGCGTGGGTGGACGAGGATATCGGCGGAGGGGGGCGTATACATAAGTCTACGATTTCGGTCCTTCGCATTTCCCGTGACCTCATCACTACCACGCGCGTTTATTATGAGCGTATATATGTAAATACACATAATGCGCGTTATACTGCCGGTCTATATAATATATGTATAATGAGTATACGGCGCGCGTGTGTGCGTGTCGTGCCGGTCGAGCGAATTCGATTTTTAAGGGCCTCGCCCGATCATATCAGACCCTGACGGCGACGACGTACACAATAATAATAATAATAATAACGCATATACAACGTGGTGTAGTGCACGTTGAAAATGCAGATGTAATAAAATCAATCCCAAAGTTCTCCGCCGCCGCCGCGCACAAGACTTATTATGCGTCCAACGTAATAGCGTGATCGGACGCGAAACGGAAGGAAATTGCGTGATAGAAGTGGAAAATTTATACCGTTACCTTTTCCCCCTCCCCCCGTCCTTTTATACATACGATAAACCCTTCGTCCTCGTGTAGCCTTTCCGCGCGTCGCTCACTCTTGTACGCGCGTACACACAAGACCACCGAGCGTTTACCTTGTTTTCGATTCGATGGCGCCATTGGTCTCTATATATAAATATATATTTATTTTATAAGACGTGTACTCGACGTTTTCGTATTACGATGAGCGTATTTTTTTCGGTAAGAAAAGTTTTATACTTTGTTTACGTATGTGTACACCAATATGCCGTACGCACGCATACTAATGAATATGTATATAATAGTATTGCGGTATGAAACGGTTGTTGCAGGAATTTCCGGGAGGTAGCTTTATTTGTGAAAAAAAACGTAATAATAAAAAATAAGAGAATAAAAAGAAAAGGGGAAAAAAACGAGGTGTTTGAAAGGTGATAAAACATGAGATTATAATGTGGAAGAAAACATCATCCGGTATACGCGACGCGGTGGCGGACAAATATTTGAATAAGAAGTGTTTGAATAATATTAAAAGAGAGAAAAAAAACCGACACGAAGAGAGCAAATGCCGGAAGTCGTCTATTGTACGCGCACCGTATTATTACGTATGCTTTTATTATTGCGGGCGCAATAAACGCTCGTCGTAATTCGAAGTGATAAACTGTCATCGCGCAATATAAATATATGCGTATACGTATTGTATATAATTTATATATTTATTCGTAATTTATCGTGCACTCTTCGCACAAACAAATTGGTACAGCTGAATCGTGGATCTGAGAAACTAACGCATACCTATACGCGTATTGTGTTGCCGAGAAGAAAAAAATGCTCACCTCTTTTTCCTTGGCCGAAAGTTCAAGTTCGGCGGGTGTTTTGTTTTGGTCCTCGGTGGATTCGACGTGATTGCTCAAAGGCGTGGCCATGGTCATGACGTTCGTGTCTTGTGATTTGTTGTTGGTCAACTGTTCTTTAAGGGCAGTCACTTCTTTCTCCGCCAAAGTAGCTCTCTGCAAGCGAGGGGAAAAAAACATAAATTAGAAATATATAACAATAAATATATAAGTATTCGTTATTTTTGCACACGCATATAAGTATGGTAAATAAATATACGGCGTATACACGTTGGAATCATTATTGTATTATTCGAATTCCGGCTCTATTACAACGCAACAATACGCAGAGCAGCGTCCTGCGAACAAAATCACTGGTATCCGGTCGGTCGCACTCTCAATCCACTCTTCGCACGTACACGAACGTAATATAATTTTGCGGAACTCGTACACACCGGCGGATTTGAACGAGACGTAATAATAATGTTGTGCCGCACAGTCACACGCTCCACACGTGTATTTGTACACAATAAGGTTATATTGTTGCAGGAACGTATCGTGAGTGATTGAAAATAATGGTCGACGGTGCCGGTAAATTTACGGGACGACCTGTTCGTCGTTCGTTGAGTACGTTATCAGATACGAATTTTTTTTTTTTTTTTTTCATGGATGTACGCAGAAAGGACAAGATATTATACCGAGGAAAATCGATCAGATCGTAATCCTGTTGGCGGCAGCGCCGGACCATTCGAATATCGATCGTTATTGGTGTACGATGACGTTTGGAACGCAATACGTGAACGGCAGAACCGACCCGACGACCACGACCGATCTCAGGGTTTAGCGTTTTAGGTCGTTCGTACTTGGAAATCGTTCGTGATGCGTACCGTACAACATTTAGATATTATTATTTTTGCCGTTATTACCGTAACAATTGGACGTGCGCGCAGCGCACGTACGTAATGTAATAAAACGATACATCGCGTTTGGAAAATGGCTACAAAAATCGACTCCACCTCTAACCCCCGCCAGAGGGGCCGCGTGCGTGCGTGCCCACCGGTACCGTACAGCGTGGCGCGGCCTCGAAACGAAAACACAATGAGAACGGACAACGGCGCGGCGAAGAAATCGAACGCAATATAATATATAAAAATTGAAAAAAAAAAAAAAATCGACCTGTAGCCGTGAGTGGGAGGCGTCTTAAAGTAGGTGGAACTATTGGACCGTATCACGCGCCATTGGACCGGCCCCGTCGATAGATCGGTCCGTATGGACGCGCGTGCGTGCGCGCCCGTTTTGTTATTGTTATTTTTTTTTATTTTTTCTCCTCTTCTTACGTTCGTATCCTTATTTCTTTTCTTCCGCGGCCGCTACGTGTGAACGTGCGAGACTACCAAGCGTTTTATTTTTGCGTACGAACCCGTATGAAAACGATCGTCAGGTTCGGGTGTTTTTTTATTTTTCTATCTCTCCTATATCCTGCCCCGCCGCGTCTTTGTCGTCGCGTTTTTTCCACCGTCCGTTTTTCTCTCCCTCGGATATAGTCGCCCGCAGTCACGCCCACCGCGCGCCGATCATCGGGAATTAATGTAACAATAATAATACCTATACGTGCCGAGCGCTGCGGTGCGCGCAATATTCGGACGTCGACCGAACGCTCGAAATTATAATATCCCTCTCCGCCGCCACCGACACCGCCGACCGCCCGCGCGCGCGAAACCGCTCCTCGAACGCAGGACACCGTAACACACGTAGAATATATAACATCGAATAATAGCGATTCTCATCGATTCCGACGCCTTAACACGACCGGTGTACTACACATTCGTCTAGAACGGATTCCGCCGGTCAGTTTACGTGTTTTTTTTTTTTTAATCATCCTCTATAATTACTATACGCACATACGATTTGAGTATTATTATTTCCCCTCCATCCCTCTCCGACACTTTAACAAGCGATAGTTTATACCGAAGTTATAAATATTTATGCGCACATGTGTATAATAATAAACATTCGTTCAAACATCTTTTGTGTTTTGTGATTATTTTTTTTTTTTATTTTTATTTTTTTTTTTTTGAGATTTCTTTAATAATTTATTTGTTAATTGTTTTGGTAATAATTTCATACATGTACTAGCGTTGTAATAGCTATTATTAATAATTATAACTTAAATACACCGGATCCGATGCGTCAACATTAATATTATTTCCTGGATTTCCCGCATTGTTTATCGTTCGTGCCTTTATTAAAAAAAAAAATATAATGCATTTACTGTTAATTTTTAAAGATATTCGTTTATATATATATATATATATCATGTGCAGGATATTAGAAGAAAAAGGCGTTACTATATACTTTACACGTACACGTACATCATAATACATATTTAAATATTACATTTGTATTATATAATATATTATATTGAACGCGAATATAGCCGTATACAGTTTTATACAGTTTTATGCTAATAAGAGAGCTTCCGGCTCTCGACGATTATTTTCAACAGCTGTTTTACAAGACTATACAATGAGTACTCACAATGCGAATCATTATATAATGGCATAGAAGTATTATTCTCAAAAATCAATGTACATAAATCTCGAATAATTGTGTTGAAAATTTACGAAAACTTGTAACGATCAAAATTAGAAGATTATATTTATAGAGTGCAAAATACGGAATATTGAATAACTTACTGTATGATGGTTATTAGACCACTTACGAGAAGTAAACTATAAAAGTTTACATGCACATGAGTATAGGAAATACCTGTAGTAACAAGCATATGTTGTGTACGGTCTAAGTACTTAATCGAAGTTTTCACGCGCAAATTTATACTCGTCGGCAACCAGATTTCCCCCAACCGTGGAATTCGTTCAAACATATTAGCTCCATTACCCGTCATTATAAGCTAGGGTGCGCGAGATAAAAATCGCGGTTTATTCCCCTCGCGGCGCACGTATAAAGAAAAAAATCATATAACCTGTGTTTTTCACGCCAAAACCCAAATGTATGTACACACACCGCATAAGAGAGGGTGATTTCTGTTTTTTTTTTTATTTTTTTTTGCCAGACAAGACAAACACCCTTCAAAAAATATCTGTGAAAAAAAAAAAGTCAACCCACTATTTTTCATTTCCATATTTATACTTAATATTCATTAACGTTTAAAAAAAACCGGTATTTTCATTTTGTCAGGGTTTGAATAATATATATATATATATATATATATACGTATATTTGAAAACAAACGCACGTTGGCTTGTACATAAAACATATACCTATGTGCATAACAACTGATCTTCGTGTTATTAAAAAAAAAAAAAAACATATATTACCCCATTGCCGAATTTTAATGTAACTGTTCATACACGCGTCTATAAATATATGCATATATATTTGTTCTCTGACGCATATTGAATTGTTGCATAAGCTCATTAGCTTTTTTCCCCTCGTATTAACACATAAAACCCATATGGCTGATAAATATCTATAAGTATTAATTAATTAAATACAATAAAACACCTGCGAACGCGGCAGCACCATATAGGTACTCGTAATATATTATGTACATTTTCTTCTATAATTTATACAATATTATCGAATCCGTCCCGAAAAGTTAAAGCCTTTTGAATTATTAAAATAAACACTGCACCAACTGCGCATTATACATATATCAGTTAAATTTATTTAATATATACAATATATTTATTTTCTAATTATTATTTTACGTCCATCGAGTGTCAACGACGGCGCGCGTTTGACTTCCGCAGGGCAAATCCGGACCCTTTTGTTTTCAATGCGTGGGCCCCCTCCCCCCTTCAATCGTATTGTCGCGACCGTACTGTAGGAAAAAAATACCCACGGGCTCTCGTTGTTTTTTCTCTCCATTTACATATTATATACTGACAAACACACACACACACACAAACACATGCGCGCGCACACTGAATAGGTCATATCGTTTTGAACAAATAACAACAATAATACAGTCGTGTGCGTGTATATAGGTGATAAATCGGATCAAACAGAAGAAAAACCCGTTCGTGGGAGGAGACTGCTTTCGAAAAGAAAAGAAAAAAACGGTCCTGACACTGACGAATTGAGACTTCATCCGTATAAACATAAATCGCTTTGTGTTAATATTTTCTTCGCTGGTACTTTTTTATTTTTTCCCGTTCCATTATACTCATTTATATTATTTATGTGTACCTATACTACACATCTCTGCTCGCCGTATGCACTCGTATTCAACGTCAACTAGCCTAACCTATTCCTCTCCTGAATCACCGCGATGTCCCATTGTTGATCAAGAGTCGACACTACGACACACATACGTGTAGTACACATTAAATATATTATTTTATAGTGTGCGCGTGCACAATAATATTAATAATAATACAATAATTTACATACACGTAGAACCGTTGACCTTTTTTCGATTAATTAAATATCATGCGGGTTTATTGTGTTAAAAAGGTGTTGATGAAATATTTAATTATTATTGTTGTTTGATTTAATAATCCAGGAAAAAAAAACTTTCTATCGTTTGCGTGTGTGTGTGTGTGTGTACGTATGTTTTAGTCCTCGTGGTTTCCTGGTAATTAAGGCGGTATAAGGCGCTTTTATGAACACGTTCAATCTTATCTTGTTTTTCTGCGTATGTCGATAAAGATTAAAAAACACCGCCTTTACAAATAAGAATACTATAAACGGATAATATTGATTCTCATGAGAGTTGCAGATTTTCTATCATTTTTTTACGCCTACTCTCTTCGTATCCCGTATACATAAACCGTCGGCTTTGTCTCAAAAGTAGACAGATAAAAAAAAAAAAGAAAAAAACAATAATAAAAATAATGCAAGAACGTGTCTAATAGCACATCTCAATAACATATATAACAACAACTCGTACAACATCACACGTTTACGGTGTCGGCGATGGAATTACATAACTTCTGTGATTTCAGTGCGAAACACTACGCACGGCGTTTTTCTTTCTTTTTTTGCATACCGATGCTATGTGTATGTATGTGTGTGTGTGTGTGTTTTTGTGTGTTTGCGTTTACGTTATATTACAACGTATCATATATATTAATATAATTTTTACAGGTTACTACTGCATATTCCAATACGCAATATGCGAATCTATTACCTATAAGTACGTAAACATAGTT